AATCCTATATCCAGTAAAATTAAGCTTCAGTTTTGAAGATGAAATAAAAATGTTTCATGATAAACAAAACTCAAAAGAATTTGCAACTAGAAAGCATGCACTTCAGAATATTCTCAACTATTCCATGAAGATTAAATAAAAAAAAGTGAAAATCAACAAAGGGAGGAATTACACTAAAGGAACTGTTAATCAAAGAAGAAACTAATTCCAATTTATAATCTAGAAATAAACTCAAATGACTGGGAATACAAATCATATCTCAATAATAACCTTAAACATTAATGACCTAAACTCATCAATCAAAAGACATAGACAAGCAGAATGGATTAAAAAATAAGACCCAACAATATGCTGTTTCCAAAAGACTCACCTTTTAGGCAAAGATGTCCAGAGACTAAAGGTGAAAGAATGGGAAAAAAATATATCACTCACATGAATTGTTCTATCTTCATATCACATAAAGTGATATTCAAGCCAAAATTAATCAGAAGGGACAAAGAAGTAACTTTTCATATTGCTTAAGGAAATTACACATCAGCAAGATATGACAATCATAAATATTTATGCCCCAAACAATGAAGCATCTGCCTACATAAAACAAACCCTCCTCAATTTCAAGAATCAAATAGACCACAACATAATAATACTGGGTGGCTTTAATACAACTCTCTCATTACTGGATAGATCTTCTGAACAAAAACTAAACATAGAAGCTATAGAACTAAATACTACAATCAATAATTTAGACTTAACAGATTTATATAGAATATTTTATCCATCAATGACATAATACACTCAATAGCATATGGATCCTTCTCTAATATGTTCCATGCTATGTCAGCTATCACATATGTTGGCATACAATTGTAATATTGCCTTAATTTATTTTAACATCTGTAGGGTTATTTTGATAGCTCCTTTTCCATTGATATTAATTTATGTGTTTTTTTCTTCCTACTACTTAATTTGAAAATAAATTGATTATTATTCTAGCTTCTTTCTGATACAAGTACTTTAAGTTATAAATATTCATCTGAGTACTGTTTCATCTCAGAAATCCTGATATTTTAAGCTTTTATTATCATTTAGATAAAAGCACTTTTTATTTATTCTTTTTGTGTTTTCTTCCTTGACTTCAGAGACATTTATAAGTGTGCCATTTAATTTTGAAATAGTTAATGTGGGGGTGGCATTTTATATATCTTAAGGTGATTGATTTCTAGTGCAAGACATCATGCAGGAACCACAGTCTGCATGATTTTTAATTTTTAAAAAAAATTTAAAGAAAAAAATAAATGACTGAAATAACTGTCTCCCAAATTGTCAAGTGAATTATAACTTCAACAGAGAACACGTGGAATGTGGCCTTTGAATTGCCTGTATAAGTGCCCCTTGTTCCTTCTGATGGCCAGAATCACAGCATTTGGGAGAGGAGACCCCTGTGTTTCTCCTTTGTTAGAAAAGCAATAAACTTTCTTTTTCCTTTTTCCTCAAAACTGTGTCCTTGCTATTGGATTGGCATCAGGAACAAGTATTGAGCTTTCGGCAACATATCTTCATATATTTGATATTATGCCATATGCCTCTGTGCCTCTGTTCATGTTTCTCCAGTCTTTTTTCCCCTCTTCATACTGTATAATTTGTATTTATCAATCTTCAAGTTCATGAATTCTTTCTTGTCACCTCAGCTCTGTTTTTGAGATACTTAATTTTCTTTTGACTCAGTTTTAATATTTTCAGCTCTTGCATTTCTACTTGGTTCTTTTTACAGATTATATCTCTTTGCTGATATTTTCTATTTAGACTTTTTATTTAATGTAAGAGTTTTTCTTTGTTGTCCAGGCTGTGCTCAAACTCATAATCCTCCAGTCTCAACCTCCTGAGTACCTTGGATTGCAGGCACTCATTACTGCATTATTTAATATAATTCTGTCCATCTATGCCCTAGTCACTCAAAGATTTTATTTATATTATTTTAARTGGTTTCTCTCATTCTAGAACTTTATAGAAAGATCCACTAAATACATACATGCTTCTGTGTTTGGTTTCTTGCTCTCTGTACTACATTGTCTGCATTCATCCATGTTGCTTTGTGAATCAATCATTCATTCATTTCTCTTACTCCTGAGAACTGTTATGCTGCTTAAGTATACACAAATTGTTTATTTGTATTCTGTTGATGAATAATTGATTCTGTGATCTTAAAGTATGCCTCCCTCAATTTTCTGGCATTACTCCAAGGACAAGATAGAGCCTGCTTCTCTTCCTTTCAAGTGTGCATTGCACCTAATGACTCACTTTTAATAAACAGAATGTGGCAGAAATTATGGTGTGTGACATCTAAGCCTAGCTCATAAGTACCATTGTGACTTGTACCTGTCCTCTCTCTTGGATCTTCAGTCAGGGGAATCTATGCAAGCAGTGGCTACAGAGGTGCATTGTGGGGGTGGGGGTGTGGAAACTAAGGTTCTCCAAAAGAAATAAGCAACAAGTGAGTGGGACATATGTAAGATGAACATTTAGTCTCATCCAAATCATGTGTGGAGGGCAATTGGCTGACATTTTGACTATAGACTCCAGAGAAACCTAAGCTGGAATCACTAACTGTTCAGCTGCTTCTGAGTGTGAGTCTCACAGAAAACGGGAGGTCATCTCCCAAGAAACCCACAGAAATTGGGAAACAATATGTGTTGTTTATAGCCATTAAGTTTTGGGGGGAATTTTTATGCAGCAATAGATGGATGGTTAGATGATTTCCAGCTTTTACTGTTATAAGTAAATCTACTATGAATTTTCATGTACAAGTTTTTTGTGATCATATATTCTCATTTCCTTTTGGTAAGTACCTATGAGTAGACTTTGTGTGTGTCACATGGTAGCCATTTTTGTGAGTGAGAAGTGATATCTCATTTTAAATTTTACTTTAATAAAATTTGTAAATCTCAGGTATATAACATGATATATATGATATAT